AAAGAAACAAAAAAGCCTGTGCTGCCTCCAGTCTCATACTTTTGTTGCTTAGTGCTTTCTAGCTGAAACAACCTGTATTGCCGTTTTGGGCGTGCCATGGGTGCCTTGTTCACAATGAAGATCATGCAGAAAGGCGTGATTATTTATGGGACGGGTGGTGCAGAGTGCAGATGTATAGCTCTAGGAGATTACGCGTCATCGGTTAAATGGGTTTGCATTCGTTTGAATGTGCAGTGATTCTAAGAGTAGCCATATCGATAGGCGCTTTTCTGTTACATTATGCTTGGAGAATCCCAGTTGATGATGTGGTTACTGTTCATATGATGATCCGCCAAGGTGTTCGAGCTTGCATTGCCTTTTTTGACATCGTTCTGGTGCTGCTGGATTCTTGTAAAACTTCCAGTTGGATGTGTGGCGATTTTTTGCATGGTATTTTGTAGATAACCCCTGTAAATCTTCAACTTTCCAGGCTGTCTCTAAGGTGCCCGAATTTCTGCTTTGGTGGGCACATCTGTGATTTAAATGCCATATGTGCCAAACGCTCTTGCCTCGCTGACGCCTTGTGCATGGGGTACAGCACCTCTTGTCCTATCAGCTTCACAGACCTTTTCAGGGCAAGCAACTGAAGATCGCAATTGTTGCGTCCTCTGGAGTTGTGAGGGGTAGCTGTTGCTGCAGAGCTCTTGCTTGCGCGGACCAAGCTCAGAGCAGATAACATTGTGCAAGCAAAAATAGCAGCGGCAACGGAGCATTCTTGCCCTGTAGGATGCTCAGAGTCAAACTTTAGGTGTCTGCCCATGTGGGTCGGCTTCTGATACACAATGGTTGTGAGCCTTTTGGATGACCGTTTTACAAGGCTAACCATCTTGTAAGATTTCATTTCATTTATTTACTTTCAGGGCCCGAGGGCATTACAGAAAGGAGTGGGGTTTCACAACTAAAACGCGCAACAATACATTCAAAGCACTTCTTGATGGGCGATGACCTTGAAGTTATTTACATCTGTGATGGAGGCGATGGCGGCGGGAAGGTGGTTGTAGTCCCTGCTTTTTCGTGGAATGAAAGAGTCATAATAAAGATTAGTTCGACTAGATGGCACACCAACTTTTAAACCATGATCCAAACGGGATGAAATGTAGGAGGGGTTTGTGAAAAGCTGTTCTTTAAAATGGGGTTGTGATGAAATATTTTGTGAAAAAGTGAAAGCCGAGAACATTTACGACGCAACGACAGATCAGGCAAGTTTAGGGACATCTTCATTGCAGTTACGCTAGAATGGCGGGAGTAGTTAGAAAATACAAAACGAGCTGCGCGGTTTTGAATCGATTCGAGGGCGAGGATTAGAGTATGTGTGGAAGGATCCCAGATGGCGCATGCGTATTCTAATTTCGGACGTACTAGCGTTTTGTAAAGAGTTAGTTTTAGTGATGAAGGTGCAGATGAAAAATTGCGACGCAAATATCCGAGCATGCGGTTAGGGTTGTTAGTTACATAGTCAACATGCATCTGCCAAGACAGATTATTTGTGATATGAAGACCGAGGTATTTATATGAATCGACGTGTGTTAAAGAAACGGCATGAAGACTATACGTGCACGTGTTAGCAGTATTATCACGACGCGAAATTCGCATGTATTTGCATTTGGACGCGTTAAGACGCATGAGCCATTTATTGCACCACTCGGATAGGTTGTTAAGATCGGTTTGAAGTTTCAAGGTGTCAGCTGGGGTAGAAATTTTCAGATACAATACACAATCATCAGCAAAGAGTTTAATGGTTGAAAAAGTGATGCAGGCGGGAAGATCGTTAATGTAAATAAGAAAGAGCAACGGCCCCAGTACTGACCCTTGAGGTACGCCAGACGTTAAAGCACAAGAGGGGGATAAACAGTCATTAGCGGTTACGTACTGGGTTCGGTTAGAAAGAAAGTCATTAATCCAAGAGAGAACATTAGGGTCAATGTTGAGTTTGGTGAGCTTCAGAATTAGTAAGTCGTGAGATACATTGTCAAATTCTTTCGCAAAATCAAGAAAAATGCAGTCGGTATCGAAACCTTGATCAGCGTTAACAAACAGGTCGTTAGTAAAGGACAAAAGCTGGGTGTCGCATGACACCATCTTCCTGAAGCCGTGTTGACAGTTGTTGAAAAAGGAATTTTCTTCGAGAAAACTAACTAAATGTGAATATATTATGTGCTCTAACATTTTACATGGAATGCTTGTCAATGAAATGGGACGGTAGTTCTCCGGTGAATTAGTGTTACCTGATTTGTGAACCGGAACCACCTTGCCCTTTTTCCAGTCGCCAGGTAGGGATGAACACTGCAAAGACTGATGAAAAATCTTCGAAAGAATTAGTGATGAGTACAGCTCTGTACATTTCAATATTTTGGAATTTATGGCATCCGGACCCGCAGAAGAAGACACATTCAAGTTGTTGATCAGTTTTCTAACTCCTACCCAATCTATTACAATATAGTCCATAGGAAAAAAATTATGTCTAGGGGCTGTTGGAACAGAAGACGAAAAACTGCGCAGAAAAACTGAACAAAATGCATCGTTTAAAAGCTTGCAACATTCATTATTTGGAACAGGTTCGCCACAGTGTGTTAATTGCACTATCTTGTTTTTGTTACCCTTCACAAGAGACCAAAATTTTCGTGGATTGTTTTGTAGATAAGAGGGAAGAGTAACGTTAAAGTAAGCATTTTGTGCATTAGCAACTTCATGGAGGTATTCGGCGTTAGCGTTTTGGTACTCGGACCAACAGCTGGGTCTGTCTACTCTCTTGGCAGAGCGAAACAATCGCTTCTTTTTGTTGCGTAAGCGTCGAAGTGTAGCATTGAACCATGGCGAACGGGGATTAGTGCGGACATTTCTTTGTGGAACGTAACGGTCAGCTAAATATAAAAGTTTATTTCTAAAAATAGACCAGTTTTCTTCTATTGATTGTTCTTCAAAGTTCGCCATGAATTCATCGACGAATCGCTCCATTTCTTCTGTAATTGACCTGATGTCTGCTCTAGAGTAATCCCGGATGGTTTTAACACTTTTGTTAGAAGAAACACGTGCCTTTAGATTAAAGTGTAACATGGAATGATCACTTATTCCTTGAAGGTAACTAAGGGAAGTAACCAAGTCTGGCTTGTTTGTTAGGATCAAGTCTAAGGTGTTGGAACAAGTAGCTGTAGTGCGTGTGGGTTTATGTACGAGTTGAGTTAGATTGAAGTCGGAACATATGTTTATGAAGTCAACACACTCAGACGAATTTTGAGTAAGGGTTACAATATCGCTTTGCCACTTTATGTTTGGTAGGTTGAAGTCTCCCAAAAGAAATAAGGGCAAATTCGGGTAACTAATAACGACACTGTTTAAAACATCATGTAGTTCGTCAGAAAACGATGGCGAGGCGGTGGGCGACCGGTAACATGCGCAGAGAATGAAATCTTGGCTTGGTAGACAGATTTGCACACAGATAAGTTCTAGGCCGGAAGATACGTTAACCACATAAGATTTCAGAGCACTGCTGACACCAATCAATACACCTCCCGCAGAACGTACGTCACGGTCGTAACGATAAATGTTGTACGATTTTTCGCATTCAAATATTTCACTGTTCTTTATTTTGGCTGACAGCCAAGTCTCTGTACAAACAATAATATCTGCTGAACATGAATCAATTGTAGAAGATAACTGCACCCGCTTGTTCATCATGCTCCGTGTATTTGTGAAAAGTACAGACACGTGCTCGACATGTGGCTGCGATGAAGATAGCTATGGATGGGGACTGGCGCGGGGAGTATGCACTGACGCGCTACCGCTCGATGCATGCAACACTTGGTTAGGAGTGACGTCACAAACCTCATCGGTCGCCGCTGCAGTATACGTACTTTTTCTTGTTCATTACAAGTTTGCTGCTACGCAGTGAAAAACGCTGACCGCTTGCATTGCCAAATTCAATTAGCTTCTTGCGCGACTGTCGAGTGGTTCGGCAAAAGTCCTCCCCCACTGACACGCCTGAGCTTTTAAGTTTGGCTTTTCGTGAAAGGACGCGGTCCCTCACTTTGGAAGAAGAAAACCTGACGATGATGGGTCGCATTTTTGTGGCTGAAAAAGTGCCCAACCTATGTGTTCTCGAGATACTACCAGAAAGTTCAGAACTTTGCATTTCAAGCTGAGAGGCTAGGTTACACACGTGTGCTTCAGATTGCTCCCATGTCAAGATGGTTTGAAGCACACATTGGAGGAAGACCACTTTGTTGCAGTGCAACTATATTTGTGTGCTGTATTTCCTTTCGGCAGTGGGGATCTATTGTAATGCTTCTGCTCACTATTAAGCTAGTGTATGAGTCCCCCTCTCCCCCCTCTTAGGAGTCCACCCCCCTGTGCCTATCAGCACAATATTAAACAAGGATAAAAAATAGAAAACAGTGCCGTCTTTGTTCGTTTCTTTTTTTATTCTTGTTTACTGTTGTACTGTAATTAAGCTCAAGATGAATCCCTGTCAACTAATGTAACTAGGCTTGGCTTTTTTTATTTAAAAAAAGTACTTTTTGTCAATTGTAGAGGTTCTTGTATTGTGCGATCTCAGTGCATGTTAAAAAAACTTCAGAAAATTAAAATTTCTGGAGCCTTTCACTTCAGTGTTCCTCATTATCACATCGGGGTTTTGGTGCGTGAACCCAAATATTTTTACCATTCTTATTTCTTAGGAAAGCAACTGCCATAAAGACGCAGTGAATGAACAGCTTGTGCACCTCAAGGTGGACCACAAAGAAATGCAGTTTTCTTCTTTTTTTTTTAGTCATGCGAATACCATGAAGAGAATGTGTAGCTTGTGTGCCTGGAGCCATGGTATAATAGCGTACCATTTTGTGATCATGCCAAGTTTTTTGCCTGATGAGGCATCTTTCACCCCAACAAAGTTTGTATACAATAAAGCCTATTTATGCTTTAACATTTCACACTTCCTTAACCAGCAACCTTGTTTCCTTGTACAGACTGTGAATTTTCTGTATTCCATTCTCTTGGTGGTGGCTCTACAATGTGGTTTGTCCCAGCTGCCCTGAGTCGATCAGCGGTCGTGTTTAGGCGCGGTAGGTGCTCTGCATTCTCTTACAGTAAATGTTTGGATGAAAACTAACAGACCAGGGAAAATATAGGGATGTTATTAAAAGTAATTATACTGTGAAGAAATAAAAGTGGACGAAACAATAACTTGTCGCTGGCAGTTCTTGAACAACACTGCCAGGTTTAAATGCACATATGTACCCCATAAAGTGGAGAGGGGGGGGGGGACAGCCACTGTAGTTCAGTTGGTATAGAGCATCAGGCACGTTATCCAAAAGTTGCAGGTGTGGTCCCTGCCAATGACAAGTTATCTTTTTGTCCATTTTTTCTACATTTACATTACAATTATTATTGATAACATTCCTATATACTTTTCTTGGCATAATTGTCTCTTAGTTCACATTATTATTGTGTCTAATAAAGGAAATTGAGCCCTTAAACTTGCACTTCATTCACAAGTTTTGATGATATATGGCAGCAGCAAGTGTTGTGTCTTTTTCTTTTTTTCAGTGCATTAGGTGGGTTACTCATATTAATGAAAAAGAACATGTCTTGAGATTCTTTTGTTGTCCATCACTCTGTGCAAATCAATGAGAAATATAGTGACCACCTACCATCACCAGCAAGGATGTCTTGTGTGCCTTGACGCTCCTCGTAGCAGAGTGTTTTCTTGCAAGATTTATACAATGAGTACCATATTAGGGATAGACAGAAAATAGGATACAATAAGGTAATGAAAAGGCCCATTATAGTGGGATCACGTGAGATTATTTCTCTGCTAATTTGAGCAGTATCTATGAAACAACTTGGGGTGCAGTATTTTTAAGCCTAACCTCGTTTCAGCAAACCTGAATTTATTGTGAAAACTTTTTTTGAATTCACATGTATTGCTTATGTGCTCATTTTGCTGAAAGGAATTTCTGGCTCGGTTTATTATATCGAGGTTCACTATATCTTAGTCCAACTGCATGCAAAATATTTACTCTACTTTGGCTATGTTTTTCTGGAATTTCTTCTTGTTTTGAAATTGGCATGAGTTTTTATAGCAGAATAGAGACAGAAATGTTTGAAACGGTAGCAAAATGTACCAGTAAAGGCCATGAGCAATTAACTAAGATACAAACGAGTTCAGAGAATGCACCTTGATTCCTGCAATTGCTGCAGTGGCCATATGTGCACATCACCTTTAAAGAGGCCTTGAAACACTTCTTTGGGTAACCATGAAACTAATTCACTGGAAAAGCGTATTGCCTCACAAATTCAACGCCACAAAAATTTTAAGAATCTGTTCAGTACGAGCGGAGTTACAAAAGATTTGTTGCATGCTGCAGTTGCATTCTCTCCTCTCTCATCTCGACGAAAGTGCTGGAAGCGAAGCAGGGAGGGATAGGAGGGGAAACAAAAAACTTCACACGCGCCTTGTGACCTTGAGTACTTTTTTCTTTTTTTTTCTTCGAATACACGGCTCTTTCAGTGCGATCGCGTGCGCACACGTAAACAAATGACGGCCTTTCGCAGCTATCTCTGTAACGACCGAGCGCGCAGTGTTCAAATCAGCCAATGGCTGATAGTTGGGCAACCTACGTGTGATTTTTGAGCATCTTCAGACATTTGTCGAGGGAAAAGAAAGCAATTTTAGCTGGCTTTGATAATTTATTGTGAATTACAGGCCGCATGCTGCGCTATAACATTTGGCTCGCATGTTCTCGGGAGCCTCTACTACCGATCGGCAGCGTTTTCTGACCATGCTCAAAAAGTGTTGCAGGGCCCCGTGAAGTTTTCTGGGTAGTGTGTTCATACTGAGTGTAATTACTACACATCGATACATTGTGCAATCTGTTTTGACATTCTGATAATGCTGCTGACAGTGTAGCATTATCGATGTAGCATGCCAAAGGAGCTCTATCGTATGAAAAAGCGCCAATGCTAATGAGACACGGTGTGCTTGTATATCTAAAAAAAATGACTGTCAGTGCGGTTTACTTCTCCACCAAAAATGGCAGTTGAAATTGCGACCTACAAAAGACGTGTGAGAGACGGACATCTTTTGTTACGCTAAAATCACCATGTAATTGCCAACTCGCCCAACAATAAGTTATTGTGCAGAATGCCACTGTAAAGGTAAGGCGAGTATTTTGAGAGAAGCTCTTTTATTGAATCCAAATATTACAATGTACCCACATTTTATGTTTTATGAGCTCGTCGTTCTGGAAAGAAGCTGTGCTTTTTTGACATACAGATTATTTTGCGTAAAAATAGTTGGGAAGACAGAAATGGGAATTTTTTGTTTTTGTGATGCAAGAATGAGTGTAAAGGTTACTTGTATACTTTGGTCAGGTCTGCATGCCAAAGTATACCAACAGCATCTCTTTTTATATCTTCCATCTGTATATGAGGGTACACTAACGAGATGATATTCCTTTTGGAGATGCACATTCTGACGTGCATAGTAACATATTTTGTCACTATTGGTACAGAGAATAATTGTTTCAAGTGGCATGTCTTGTGAAGTATAGACACAGATGATCATAACGTGTTTATGACAGGACCTCATGGCCTCCTTGTAGACAACACAGTGTCCGAGTAGCCCCAAGTGGTTTGAGACTAATTCGCATGAATAAACCAAAGTTGTTTATTGGATGCTGTGAGTCTTAGTAGGCCCTTATAGAAGTGAGCAATAAGTACTCAGATATAATTATCAATAGACCAGAAGGAAACTAGTCAAGAATATCTCCCAGTGGTACTCCACATTAACTCATAAATATATAAATTCTTTTTTAACTGCATGGTTAAAAACCATTCTTTTTACACTGCATTCTTGTGTAAATACCAAGGTGTCCATCTTGCTCCGGCATTGTTGCCTCATATCAGTGCATTTGTAGCGAAAACATCACATGCACTTGGTTGCATGCATGCATCTGAAGCGCAATCTTTGAGGCAGCTCAATTTACTGGAAAGCTAGCATATCGAATGCATGTTGGCACTCTGTTTCAGTATGCTGTGCCCATTTGGTTGACTTGTTAAACTTATCTAATCAATAACCTTGATTCTATCCAGAACTAAGCCGTTCGATTCACTGTTAGAGATTGTGGTACATGTTACAAACATCAAGACCTCCACTATAGAGAAATCTCTAAACTAAAAACTTTAAACTATTTTATAGTCTGAATCGGGCATGTAGGCGATGGGGCGCTTCAGAAAAAAAATTTTGTGATTTGAACGTTGCATTTGTAATCAAAACAAATTGGATATTCACGACGAGCTCCACCTCATATCTGGGTCTTGCTACGCTGTCTGCGTGAAGCTCCTATCATATTTACCGATTTGACGATTCACTCCACCTAGACAGCAGCATGGACGGTTGGTTCTCCTTCGCAGTAGGAGGTGATTACATGTCTCCTCGGCGACCGTCTTCAAAACTTGTCACTGCTCCCACCACGTCATCTATTGATATTTTCAATAGTCTGACTGACCGCACTACGTTAAGCACGTCATTTCTGGTCGAGTGAAACATGATATCCCTTGAGCAACAGACTTCACTAAATAACGTCCCACTGATTGGCTCACCGAGCCTCCGTCATCGCTTGCTTGGGCCTGGGGTGGGAAGCCAGGGAAGCTTCTGCATGATTCGTGTATGTGTAGCAAAGCGAAAGAACCACGTCCTTCTCACAGGTTCACTTGTGGAATCAGATGGTGCCACTTCGATTTCTTGAGTTCTCTCAATCTTGCGCGGTGTTGGAGCTTGAGAGTTGGGGAGATCCCACCAGTGCCTCCAGTTTGTTCGGACCGGGTCCGGCCGGTCTCAACTGGTAACTGGTCCTCGTCACCGGACCCGTTCTTTGCAGTGAGGAGATTTACTCTTGCAGGACAGACGAATGTTAATTTACATCTCGTGACGATAGAAAAGGAGAGGAAGAAGAATCGAAGAGGCGTAGAGTAGTGTACAACAGTTTTCGGCTTATATAGCCAGCCATCGAACAACCCCTAGGCACCCGGTCTCCTCCACTCCCGCCAGTCAGATGGCTCAACAACCCAGCGGCAAGGATGAGAGTCTGACAGGGTGAAAGGGGAGGGAAGAATGTCATTGACTTCCAGGGATGCAAGCGCTCATCCGGAGTGACTTCTCAATGGCTTTTTACACGCATTGCTCATCGCTACCTGAAGCTTTGTTTGAATGATGCCTCAGCTGTCCAAGACATTCGACGGGTCTTTGGGACAATTTGTGAAGTGTGCACTTTCTTTCGGGTGCCGCCCAAAAGGACCCAAGTCCTGAAAAGTATTTAGAAACATCTACAATGTCATTTGGCCAGCTGTGCCGTTATTGTGAAACAAGGTGGGTGGAACATTGCGATTCAGTTGCAATGTTTGTAGAAGCGCTTTCCGAGATGGTTGATGGACACCTTCTGTGACAAAGCAACAGCGTCCTCTGGTTATTGCCTCCATCGGTGACTCTGTTCCTAAACTTTCTTATATGCCTCACTGTTAGTAAGACATTCCACTTGTCTGTGTATCTGCAGAGCCCAAATATTGACATGGGCATCACCTTGGAGCAAGTTGACTTGGTGCTGACTAAGCTGAAAGAAATGGGAATTAACACGGAGGCAGAATTCCCCAAAATATTTTCTCTATTTCAAGACAGAGTTCAGAGTGAAAGGAGAGATTCGATGGGCGGTAGGAACACAGAGATATCGGTTAAACTACAGTTGTAGTTTTGCGGAAGAGTACTACAGGTGAGCCTTGTTCATTCCTTACATAGGTAGATGACATGAAAGCTTCCCTCAAACAGCACTTTGCAAACCATCGCAAAACAATGCAAAGTTTGCAATTTGTGTTGCCAAAGCAAACGTCCAAAGGCAAGTTTGAATCTTTGCAGCCGGCGTTCGATTTTCACGTGAGAAATATGACAACAGCTCATATTTTTACACTAAAAGGTGAATGGGAAATCTTGAAAACTAAATGGCAAGCCATGCAAGAGGACAAAGTTCCCCATTTTGCGACGGATGCTTTAGCTGAATGCAACAAAGCC